CAAGTCCACAAAACGTTCTGCCCCTGCAAAAAGTGTTGCACCCGCATCTAACAACCAAAATCCTAAACCCTAAACCCGAGAAAGGAAAATAGGAAGAAGATGCAGGAAGGGATCTTTTCCGTGGATGCGAACTGGGTACGAGCCAGTCACCGACAACAGCCACAGGTATCTCCTGAAGCATGCCATCGAGTGGGGTGGCGACTTGTGCACCAAGAAAGAATTGCCACCCCACAGCTCGCCCCCCCTGTCCAAGAAAATGTGATATGCGGGTGTGGCATTTCAGGAGGGCTGAGAGCCCTCGGGGACTTGTACGCGGGAACGCAACGGGAGACGAGGGTACCAGATGTCCAGCAGGTTGAAGCGTAAGCGCTGTGAAGGGAGGCAGTCTTCCGGAGTCGCGTACTCGGACGGGCGACTCAATGCATCGGCTTTGGTGTTCTTAGAACCCGGGACATGGGAAACATCAAGGGAAACCCTATGGAGGGATGCAAGCATGGCGATGTGCTCAAGGACTAAACCCAAGGGGTGCTTAGTGGAAAACATTTTGTTCAAGCCTGCTTCGGCACCTGTGTTGTCGCAGAGCGACGGAAGGCAAAGAGAGGCCCTGCAGCAGGGGGCCAGAGACGAGAGAGCGAGAATCAGCCCTGCCTGAGCCAGGGCTTCACAGCTGGCTATCTCCTTGGCCAAATCATTGCCAAAGGGAATGTTTGCCGCTTCGAAGTCGTGAACATAAAATGTTTCCGTGAACCAAGCCTGGCCCAAGTAAGGGCAGCTAACGAAGCCGCCTAAGCAGCAAGAGCTACCTTGCGCAGAGGCATCTGCGAAGGCCTCTACATCCGCATGGGGGGATGGGCGCATGCTGACAAGAGGAGGCACATGCTGCAGCCAGCGCTCGAAGAGCTGGAGGCACCAAGTAGAGCACGCGGAGAGCTTGCGGCGGGAACTGCAGAGGCATTCAACCCGCAGCCAAAGGCGTTTATGCGTAACTGCGACCTTGGCAAGATCTGCAAACGTGAGCAGTGGAACATGCTTGGCAGACAAGAGCCTCCCACCCACCGGAATAGCGGTGTGGGGCGGTGCAGCTACAAACCGGAGTTCGGCATCAAGAAACTGCCTAATGGAGGGCCAGGCGGCAGGATCCATACTGAAATTAGTCGCAGCTGGGGACCACAGGTCCTTGTAAAGCGGATGGAGCAGAGACCGCATGGCGGGGAAAAGCGAGCACGCCCACTGAGCGAGCCCCAGAAAACCTTCAAGGCTTTTCACAGCCACTCGGCCGCGGCTATGCAGAAGTGTGCGGGTCTGTTCAAGCAGGCGGAGTCTCTTTTCCTCCCGAAGAGAAATGGACCCCGAAGAAAAACAATTTTTCCAACCGATCCACTCAACCCTGCAAGAAATTTGCAATTTTTTCCAGCTGACCGGCAGGCCCAAAACCTGAAGAAAAAGGCAAATCATCGCTCCTGACAAGGGCATGATGGAGGAGGCCTGACCGAAGATGAAATCATCAACGAAAAGCATGCCGAAATGCGCGAGGAAGAGCAACTGATGCAGCAGCCGCAGCGCACAGCCCCCTACACGACCCCACCAGTGCTGTGAGAACACTGCCCCAAACGGGCAGCACCTAAAGAAAAAGATGCCACCCGCCCAGGTGAAGCCAAGTAACCCGTGCTCGGATTCGCGAACCAAGCAACGCTTATGCGCCTGTTTGATGTCGATGCAAAGGCCCATGAGCCGATCGGAGCTTTCACGAAGCGGGAAACAATGAGCAACGTCGTGGATGGAGGGGAAACACTGGCGCTCAGGGATAGTGCACTGGGAATTTGTGCCGGCAACGCTGTTATCAAGAACTAATCTCTCGGATTTGCCGGGAGCTCTAACCACCCCCAACTTGCCTAGGGCTAAACCAAGTGGCCATTTTGCCTTGGCTTCCTCAAGAGTACCTTCAAAGCGGAAACAGTAGCCCGCGTCGATCTCCTCCTGAAGAAGGCGGGATGTGACAGAAGGGTCGACATCCGCCGACTTCCAATTTTCAAGATTCAGGGCCAATGGCGAACATGGGCCCTTTTCCCTCTTGGGGGGCCAGAAGCAACCTGAAGCCGGGATGTCATTCTGAAAGCCCGTGGGGACGCCAAGGCGGAGGTTGGGGAACAAGTGAATGTCGGGATCAGAGCAGTGGCGGGCAAGGGCCTCGAAGGCATTGAGGCACATCGGCTGGAAAGGATGTACATACCAGGCATTCTGCGGAGGCGGGATGCCCAATGAAGAGAAAACGCATGCGCGAGCCTGCTCCACTTCCCCAGATGAAAACAATGGATCCTGAGACGGGCAGGAAGCTCTGGCAAGCAACCGGCGATCGGCTCGAAGATCAATGCAAAGCTGAAGGAAACTCTTGCGGAGGCCCTTCAAGCAATCCGAGGAGCATGGACTGCTCCAGTCGGCAGAGGAGCGGCGGCCGCCTCCGTCATGCAGCGCAAAAGGCCTAGAGTTATGCAGCTTGCGCGGGACCCGCTGAGCAGCCTCATGGAAGGAAAGCAGCGCGCCTGACCCGCACATCAGGGGTGCGACCAAACAAGAGAATGCAGCTGGGCACGCCGATGCAGAGCCTTGAAACGACGCGAGCGGGGAGAAAGAGGTCCCGCAGGAGACAGCGGGAGCATGAGCATGCGTACAAGAGTGCAGTTGCCCTGGCATAACCAGCCTTGCACTTGCGGGGAGTCCCAGCAAAGGGACTCTGAAGGAAGACAGAGGTGGCCGTGGCCGCCGGCAGCATGAACCACACTAAGGCACAGGAGACAACGTGAAAGCAACGATTCGAAGTCTTCCTCAGCCAATGCTTGCGCAATGGAGGGGCCCGGGCGTGGGATGGGAGGGTTGGGCGAGGCAGCGGCATATGCAACGGCGCCCGAGCCACACACGAACAAGATTTGCTCAAGGGCTGCAGGGAGCGACAGGTTCACGCTGGAATGAGCCGAAGAGGAGCACGAGAGGACGTCACCACGAAGGGACGCGGCAGCCCGGCCCAACTCGAAGAAAGGATCAGGGCAGAGTTCCAACAGGAAACCGCCTGGCTTAGAAGAAAGAAAGGCATCTGCACGCCAAGCATCGTCTGGGCTTGCAAGGGGGCGCTGAACCTGCAGGCTAGGGAACGCTTCCCCCAAAGCTTATGACCCAGAGGGAGCTTCTCACACCGTGTGGGCAGAGGTGCCGCGGCTGCTGGAGCGGAATGCCCCGAGACTGTCGAAAGAAGCTTGTGCGGGGGGTTGTCGGCAGGACTAGACCCACAAGAACCCGAAAGGGAAGGGGGCCAAGGAGGACTAGGAGGGGCAGTCTGGGCTGATGAGGCTTGCTCCTCAGAAATTGGGAAACCCAGGAGCTCAAGCTCAGGGCAGCAAACCTTCGGCAGAGTGTAAGCTGTGAGAGCCCACCGGGAGGCTGAAAAAGGCATTGTCATATGTCTGATGCGGCCGTCGAAAGAAAGGCCCTGGCGGTGAGTATCAATGCAGCAACCATGAAGCCAGGAGGAGCCCGACCAGACAGAGAGGTGAAGATTGTCCACGTCCTCGAGCCAGAGATGGCCTCCGGAGAAGAAGCCCAGCGTCAGGGAAAGGTTGGGGGAGCCGGGTGCATTCGCGAGATTCGAATGAATGCCGCTGGTGCAATTGCGCGAGATGCAAAGGCTGTTCCAAGTCGCCGACGGGAAGATGGACCTGAACAGGGCGTTGACGTCCCTACAGATATCAGGAAGCAGACGTGAAACCCAGGTGAGCGCCGACCGGTCAGAGACCTGCACTCCAAAGTTAAAGTAACCCGCATGGGAATCGGCCAGCGACACCACAGCAGAGCGGCGGGGCGCAAGCGGCCACGAGGCATCCTCAAGGGACTGCAGCAGGCAGTCGAAGGCGGGAAGCATTGCCGATGTGTCCACAGACGAAAGACAAGGTGCAATGTGCGGGGCAGAAACAGAGGCGTCAACGCCCCCAGGCCCAGACGGGGCTGCAGCTACAGGAGGCACTGAGCGTGGGGAGCCCGGAGGCGAGCCCGAGCTGACCGAAACCACATCGGCTGCCGCAAAATCTGCTTGCGCGCATGCAACTGCCAGTTGGGCAGAAGGCGAAGCACAGGCGACGGTTGGCGCGGATGCAGGGGGCGCAGAGCACTTGTGAAGTGGTGAGCCCGGCAGCCCTGGCGGCTTCGGTGGGAATGATGTATCTATGTCTGCAGAAACGGAGGAGCGCGTGATGTGCTCCAGCGGAGGCTGCACGGGTAAGGGAGGGGGGGGCGGCAGACCTAAAAAGGGGCCTATGCAAGAACCAACCTCACTAGAGGGTGAACCCGAGGGCTGCAACAAGCAGGACGGTACGGGCGAGGCACTGGATGCCGAGGGGGCCGCAGAGGGGGTGGAATCCCCCGGCTGAGACTGATGCAGCAAAGGCGTAGCATATCAGTTGGCCTTCTCGCGATGTTGCGCGGCTCCATGATCCTTGGACAAGCACGGGGAGCCATCAGATTTCGGGAAGGCGCAGCCGTGTACGAACTCGCATGAGTTTCCCCGTTGGCATTTGCCCAGCTGCCAAGCGACGCACAACTTTTTGTTGACCCCATTATCCTTAAACTCGCGAACCCACTGCACTGCACGAGGCTGATTAGGGTTCCTACCTGTGGACCTGAACTTGCCGCCGCCTTTGCCATCGCGCCGGCCCGGAGGTGGGGGCGGGGGGCGGTTGTCGCGACCTGGAGGATTGCCCGGGCGGCGGGGGTTGTTGGCAGGGAACTTAGGGCGTGGCTGCAACCAGGAGGCCATGTCCCCTCTGATCTCCGTGAACTCATAGAGTGCATCATTCATTTTCCAAGATTTCTCGACGACAAGCTGAAAGATGCAAGTCCACAAGCGCTTGTCCGCCTGCTGGGCCTCCAGGACCGAAGGTGGGCGGAGATGGGCCTCGGGCGGAAACCGCTGGGATACAAAATTAAGGAACTTCGCTGAGTAGGCCTTCAGGCGCGCAAGATGCGCAGCGAGGGCATTGTCATGAACTTCAAGAAGACGGCGAACCATGGAAACACCCATGGATGTATCATTGATGTCGATCTGCGGCGGCTCATCCAACAAGATGTCAGATAACTGCAAGGTCTCGATACGTGCACGCTTGGCAGGCTTACTCAGCAGGGAGTCCTCGTGCATTTGCTGGGTGAGGCGGCTCTTCCATGGGATCCAGGACCAGCTCTTTTTCACTTCGGCATCCACGGCAGTGCTGAGCAAGCGGAGGGATGGGGTATTCTGGGGTGTCAGGATTTCACTAGGAAAGGCCTCCAGGAAGGCCTTTTTAAGCGATGCCACCTTGGCTGCATCCAGCTTGGGGGCGAACGATTCTGACCAGCCCGAGGCCGCCTTAGCAGGCTGCAACATGACTTCCCCCAGAGGATCCGAGGGTGCTGATGCCAAGGGGCGCTGTAGAGAGCTCCATGCGGCGCGCAATTTCGAGCGCTGAAGCAACGAGATGTTGCTATCCGGCAGCATCTCCGAGAGGGATGCATCAAGATCAGCGGCTGCACAGACGACATGCCGAAAAGCAGGGATGTCCCACCCTTCCGAAACGAGCTGATCGACTAAGTCAGCTTGCACGGCGTGGTCCAGCAGGACCTTGCGGAGACCAGAGGCGGCCTCAGAAGCCAGTCGGGCCTCGCCTCCTGACACTGGCTCCCATGATCCTGGCTCGGAGAAGTCTTCAGGTGCACCGGACATGGCGCCGATATCAGATACTACAAAGTGCAGTGACAACGATTCTGAGCACGAACTCCAGTGATACACCTGAATCAGCGGGATCTCAAAGCTGCAAAAAGAACATGACCACAGACGTGTAACACTCACTCGAAGTGCGAGCCGCAATGCGCCATGCACACGAAATGATACCGAACATGCAGCGCAAGCCCTCATCGAAGCAGAACTGACAGGAGACAGCATGAATGAACTGTACATGTTCACATCAGCAGCAACAGTCTGCAGTTCACAGCAGAGAAAAGGGAAGGGAGAAGAGGAAGAGGGGGGACAGGAGCACAGGACGGGAGATACAGAGACAAAAGAGGGGGGAGCGGGAAAGGACATGCGGTTGAACGTGGCTGCCCCCCTTTTTTATGGTGCCTCCAGGGAAGCGAATGCTTTGACGCACGCCTGTCTTCTGCACAGCGTGTGATGTGAAGATAATCGCAAAACTGGCTGCCACTGAGAGCGCAGCGTGCTGCGGGCGTCATCCGGGCGGCACGAAGCATGAACCACGCCTGTAGCGGCGACCATGTGAACCTCCTCGGGAGTGCCCAGGTCTGGCCCCGAAGCCTCGGAGGCCGTGTCCGAAGCAGCCTCTGAAGCCGAATCAAGCGGTGCTTGCTGTGTCTCCTGCATGGGCAGTGGGACTTCCGAAGGAGTCGCCGCCTCAAGTGAACCAGGGGCAGGATCGGAGTGGCCTGTACCTGTGCAGGGGATCCGCGGCAAGGATCCTGGGCAGCTGATATCAAAATTGAAGAAACCCCATGGGGTTTCAGGCATATCCTTGCGAAAAGCCTCAAGTGTGAATGCAATGGGCTGCATGGGAAGCTGCGCTCCCCGATGCTGGGGTGTGCGAGGCCGAAAACCTGCGAGAACAGCCGAACGCAGCTGCGCCTGCGCCCTGAGAGCACCCAACACATCATCGCGGCTGTAGAGTTCGCGGCTGCTGCCACGATGGTGCCCTTGGGCATCTCTGTCACCACCTTGGATTTCGGGAACTTCAAGCATGAAGCTAAGCAGCGTGCATTTCAGGCTGTGCACAGTGTAGTTCGTGACAGGGATCTCCGGTGGGTTCTCAAGCCAGGGGCAACGTAGATAATACCGGAGCCACTTCAAGCCCGAAGCATACGACACGGGTGCAAGCGGACGAACAAGCTGCATGTTTTCATCCACACAGGGAAACAAGAAGCTGGGCGCAACTCCGAAGTCCCGAATCTCCTGAGACGCGATGGAATCAAGGACCCGAAGCCACCTAGCAACCCAAGAGAAACTCCCGTGCTGAAGGAAACCCTGAGTGATCAAGCCGAAAGGTTGGCCCTGGTGTGACGTCTTCGTCTGATACGCCACAGCGCGAAGGGACACAACGTCGAAGGCAAACGATGGCCACTCTATGCGTTGGCTATCTGCAAAGCGCAAAGAAGACCAGCAAGTCACCAAGAATGATCCCAGAAGAAACACATCCAGCAAGGGTGTGGATCGCTGCAAGATCCGGCGCTCCCACTGCACCAGAATGAAAAGGGGCAGTGGGACCGCCTCCTTTCTGTCGCGCGGCAACTTCGAGCGGAAAAACGATGACAGCAGCTCACCGTGAAAGACCGCAAAGATGCAGCACTGCGCATGCTTATGCACCCAACGAACAGCTTTAATGCAGGTGATGGCCGAGGAGCCTACGGCAGGGTCCTCCTTCTTTTGCAGAGCCAAAGTGACAAGGACATCAGCGGCATCTGTTTCGGTGAGCTCCAAAACAGCGACGTCCAAATCCTCACAAGCCTTGGCAAAAGAGTTGAAGGCAGTAATGTACCTGATGACCGTCGTGGCGGCAAAGCCTGCAAGAATGCGCCGCACATGCTGGGTGAAATGCTTGGCATTCTGAAGCGACTGAAAGAGTTCCGACTCGCTGCCCAAGAAAATGAGCAGCTGGAACATCAAGTCCATCGCAATCTTAGAGTTCGCAGCGGAATGCTTGCGAATCGCCTCCATACCCATGTCTGTACCATCCTGTTTGCTCGGTCTCGGGCGTTTGGCCGGAGGCAAGAGCCCAGCCCCGTGCGTTCTGTCCCCGCCCTTGAGCGGCACAACCTGCAAGGCATCTGAGATCGGCACCTGAAAAGGTGGTGTGAAGACTTTCGGAGATGCAGGCAGAGCCGGGGGCCGCGTGAACAAAGGCTTATTCACCGGCGGGCACGGGGTACCAGGGGCAGGGAGTGCAGGCGGGATCCTAGACCTAGCAAGGGAAGACCCCAAGGGGGCGGGAGGCCTAGAACCCGACGAGGGCAGGGAGGGAGCAGGCTTGGCGAATGCATCCGTATTGCCTGAGCGATCGTCCGGATCAAGCGGGCGGGCAGCATGCGGTGGCATGGTTGCAAGCAGTAGCTGCCTAAAGGCCTGCGATCTCCAGATTCCCCACGCGATAACTCAGCTGCTGGTGGTTGAGGTTTGCTTCCTGAAGGGCTTCAAGGAGCAAACGGTTTGCACGACGGACCTGACGCAGCTCCCGCTCAAGGCGGTCAATGCGAAGAGACTCACGCTCCTGTGCCCGTAGGCGATTGTTCAGCAGATTGTAGTTACTCTGAAGGGAATCAAGATGCCGCTGCTGTCCCCACCGGGAGGTTTCAAGCAGAAGCACGCGCTCCGTGAGATCAATCACTCTAGCTTGCAAAATCTCAACGAGGTTCTCAGAATTCCCAACAGAAGGCACCGAGCCGGATGCCATCCACCCCTGAGACCCTGGGGGGAACACCCCCCAGCGTGCACGAGGGCTAAGCCCAAACCTCACTCTTAGCTCCCGGGACCTTCTAGACGAAGTGACAGGCCTCTAGAGGAGCAAATTTCGAGCGAAAGCAGCTCGAACCGATATAGCAACTGCGATGCAAGCGATTCTTCAAGAGGTCCATGCAGAACAATGCATTTTCATAAACGGATTTTCAAACC